ATATATATCTCACAAACATTAACAGGTGCACAGTGCATGTTCCCTCCTCTCATTTCCCTCCCACCTTTTCAGTTCTGGCGAGTCCTTGTTGACTCTCCCCATCCCGGGTTTGCCCCCAGCCTGCCCCTACCCTGAGGGCAGTACCAGTCCCACCAGAGACCAGGGTAGCCCCAAAAGAGGGAAGTGAGTGCAGGAGACATGGCTTTTGAGCCATCAAGCTCTAGAGTACACCCTTCACACACACCCAGGCTCCTCTAGATCTCTGTGCCCACAGAAAGTAGCCATGTGATTTCCCAGGTTCTCTGAATAGTCAAACTCCTGTATTTCCTTCTTTCTCTCCTTCCCCTCCACTCATCCTTCCACACTTTTACTTTCTTCATCAATTCCCCCAGGACCTTCTCCTTTTTGCTCTGCTGAAGCTTCCCATTTTCTCTCTCTGAACCCTCCTTTTGTCTCCTCCTGGGCCATCCTTGAATCTAGCTGAAGAGAGATGAGGGGAAGGAGAGCTTCTTTTGGCCTTCGTCAGCATCAGAGGCAATCCTTCTGGGGCATCCTGCCCCACAGGGTCCCCAACAATCCTGAGGCACGAGGCACCTGAGGAGGGATCCTCCCCAGTGGCATTTTGGGGGAAGACAAGAAATGCTGTGAAATACAAACTCTACTTACAGCAGCCCTGCAGTTCAGCCGACCACTAACTTGTGAAGTGGCCAAATACTGCACCACGATGCCACGGATGAGCCAGCGTCGTGGCTCTCTTACCCTGTCACAGCCACAACTCTGGGTCAGGTGAGGTTTCCCTAAATTTACAAAGGGAAGAGACGTCAAAGATCACATCTAGAGTGTGATGAACCTGAGACTGGCTCTTCCTACCACCCACACTAAAACTATTCTCATATTGTATAGATTTTACATCTTTCATATTATTTTATTCTCCTAGCAATTCTGTGAGATAGACGACAACCCTGCGAAAAAGAATCAACAGTTCAGGGGCGCCTGGGTGGCGCAGTCGGTTAAGCGTCCGACTTCAGCCAGGTCACGATCTCGCGGTCCGTGAGTTCGAGCCCCGCATCGGGCTCTGGGCTGATGGCTCAGAGCCTGGAGCCTGTTTCCGATTCTGTGTCTCCCTCTCTCTCTGCCCCTCCCCCGTTCATGCTCTGTCTCTCTCTGTCCCAAAAATAAATAAACGTTGAAAAAAAAGTTAAAAAAAAAAAAAGAATCAACAGTTCAAGGAGGTGAAATGACTTGCTTAGGATCACACAGCAGACTCCACGCTCCGAATTCCACAGAAAAAGGAGTCAGAAGGGCACAGCCCCTGCCAGCCAGTAGCCAAGGGATGCTGCCCAGGACTGCGCCAGGACTCGCCGCGAGATTCAGGCCCCGCCCCCCTGACCTTGTTCTCTGCCAGCTGAGAAGTGGGGAGCTTGGGGGGAAGAAGCCTCAGGTCTTGCCCAGGACAGAGTCCCCACTTGGGCGCACGCCCTGGGGTGAGGCTTCCCCAGGAAGCTGATGGCCTTGCATTCCATGCTGAAGGAAAGCCCGGAGACCAGGAATCCTTGGCCCAGGATGGATCGTGGAAAGGAGCCGGAGGGACTGGGTAGAAGAGCGAGAGCAGGACCAGCTCCAAGGCAGTAGGGCCCGGGGGCGGAGCGACCCCTCCGGTCTCTTCGAGAACGGGGACAGAGAGGTTGCGAAGGCCAGGCCCTGACTTTGTGTCCACGAGGTCTGAGCTTCCCGGTCACCTGGAGGAGCAACAGGGAGCCCTTGGAGGCCCGCGCTTTCTCTGAAAGTGAAAGGAGTGGGCGGGGGGCGCGGCCGAGGCGGGGCCCAGGCGGGCAGCCGCGCAGGCTCCGCCTCGGGGCAGTCTCGCGCCGGGGGCGCTGAGCGTCTCCAGTCCTCGCTGCGCCGCGGGCTGGTGGGCTTCGCTGAGGCTCGCGTGCGGGGAAATGACCCTGCCCGGGGGCCCGACGAGCATGGCGCGGCCGGGGGGCGCGGGGCCCTGCAGCCCGGGGTTGGAGCGGGCCCCGCGCCGGAGTGTCGGGGAGCTGTGCCTGCTCTTCGAGGCGCGCTGCGCGGCGGTCGCTGCCGCCGCCGCCGCAGGGGAGCCCCGGGCCCGCGGGGCCAAAAGGCGTGGGGTCCCGGGGGGGACAGGCTGTCCGAACGGCTCCCCTGCGGCCCCCCCGGTGATCCCGCAGCTGACTGTGACAGCTGAGGAGCCGGACGGACCCCCGACCAGCCCGGGGCCACCGGAGCCGGAGGGTGGCTGGCTCCCGGCCGTGGGCTCCTCACACCTGCAGCAGCCGCGCCGCCTCTCCACCTCGTCGCTCTCCTCTACTGGCTCCTCGTCGCTGCCCGAGGACTCAGAGGACGATCTGCTGAGCGACAGCCAAAGCCGGAGCCGCGGCAACGTGCAGCTGGAAGCCAGCGAGGACGTGGGTCAGGTATGGGCCGCGGGGGCGGGGCCAGCGCGGGGCGCGGGGGCTGCGTGCGGCGGACCCAGCTCTGAGCTGGCTGAGCGCCGACTTCTGCGCTAAGCTCCCTCCGCCTGGGGTCCTGCTTAGCAGGAGCATGGGGTTCTCAAGGACGCGCTGGGCTGACCTCCCTCCTTGGCAGTTTTCACCCGGCTTCCACCTGCGGGTCGCTGCCCGGGCCCTGGGGCGTCTAAGAAAGAGAGGGAGGAGGAGTCTGCGACCTGTCGCGAGCACCGGGTAGGGCGGAGGTGGAGATCGTGACTTGCTGGCTGCGAAGTGGGGCTGAGGGATCGGAGGGGCTTGGTCTTGCCCCGCGAACTCTCGAAGAGAGAGGGGTGAAGGAGTCTCCCTCTCTCCCCACCCCCTCTCCCGCGCGGCGGCCCCACCCGCCGCCGTTGCCACGGTTTCCCTCTCCTGAGTGGGAGTGGAGAGGCGCTCCAGGCTCTGCTCGGGAACCGCCGCCGTCTGCTCCCGGCGCCCGCACAAGATGTGGACGCAGAAAAGGGAGGGGCTTGGGGCTGGGGGCTCCGGTAGGGAGTGGGACGCAGCCCTCCCCGGGTTTCCTGCTCCTAAGGAAAGCCGGGAGGAGGTAAACTGAGGCTGAAAAGCGGGATCCGCCTGCTAGTCCCTACTCCGGTAACCTGGCTGTTCCGGTGCCAGGTTTGACCCTCAGATAACCCCGGCCAGGGTGCAGCGAAGTCATTCCCATGCCTGCCCCTCAGGGGTGTGCGGCGCCCGGGATAGCCATCTTGACCCCCTCGTTTTAACCAAGGCCAAATACTTTAAATAACTACCCGCGGTCAACGCGAAGGAGTTGCTCTAGATCCCCGTTATGCAAGTGTCCCTGGAGTGGAGGGAGAGGCGAAGGGCGTCCCGCAGGCTCTGGTGGTTCCGAGCCTGCCCAGAAGGGCGGTGAGAGCGGCGGACACTGGGCGCGGTGGGGAGAGCCCTGAGGCGCGGCCTCTGCCTGCTGAACCCGGGCTTCGCCGCTCGTTCGGACTGGATGAGGCGGAGGAGACCCTGTAACGACTTGCAGTGGATCTGTGAATCAGTTACCCGCTGAGACGTACATTCTCCAGAAGGCAGCGTGGTTTGTAAGGTACAAGAGGGAAAAGTCTCATAGAGCAGGAACACACAAACGCGCACACACACGCACACACCCCGCCGCAGTCAGGTGTAGGGTGCGGGGAGTCCCTCTCTCCTCCGCGGATGAAAAGGATACCCCTCCCTGATCCGTGATCATTCCTAGTACAACCCTGGCTCACAGAGGGATGCGGGTGCCATCGAGGAATCTCCAAAGCCGTGGAATGTGGGGCAGTGAGAGGACTCCTTTCCCACCTCCTCCGAAATCCGGAGCAGTAGTTCTGGGTGCACCGTTCCCCGGGTCAGATCTCTGACAGCTGAGAGGCGGGATCAGGAGAAAGGACGCCAGGAGGGAAGCCCCCCCCCCCCCCCCGCCCTCCGCCCCCGTTTCCCTCTTCCGCCTACAGTCGGAGGAGGGCCCGGGGCCCAATCCTGCCTGCAACATAGGCACGCCGCCTGGGGTCAAGACTCCGAAGACCAGCTGCAGCTGTGCCCTAGGCGTCTTCGGCCGGCCTCTCCCTCGCCAAGCTTCGCCTTCTATCGGCGCAGCCAGGAGCTGGAGCAGATGGCCGCTGCGGGCCCTTACAGCTCCAAGGCTGCGTCTCCCAGGCCTTCCCAACCCCCAGCCCGCCGGGGCCTCCCCGAAGGCAAACAGCCACGGCGGCGGCAGATAAGCCAGTAGGTGTTGACAGAGGCTGCCTGCGCCCGCGTGGAAGGGCCAGGCGCGGACTTTGCCTCACGGCCGGTCGGGGAGCGGCACAGAGTGCCCGCCTAGGCTGCCTTCAGGGCTTCCCCGGTCAGGAAGCTGAAGCCATCGGTTGGCTGACGGTGAAGGATGCGCCGGGAGAAGGGTCCTGCAGCAGAGCTCGGGAGCTCCCAGCTTGCCAGGCCCTGACACTAGGGCATGGGTAGATAATGGTATAGCTGGAAGCAAGAGGCGGCCCTGAAAGTCTCCACTTTGCCTCTGCCTGACACATCTTTCCCCAGCTCCTAGGAGCACCACACAGCCTGCCCAGAGCCTGGAGCTGGGCTCCCAGCAGGGTACTATCCTGGGACTGGGCAGCCTGCCTCCTTCCTGGGGCCTTTCTTCTGGAAGAGGGAAAAGTCACAGGCAGAGAAACCCAGACAGATCAGGAGAGGAGTTGGGGGCCTATCCCCAAGAGCAGCCAGCATGACTGTCCTCTTAGGCCTTGCCTGCCTCTTAAAACAGTTTTGGGGTGTTGCTGTAGGGAGGGTATCTGGCTCCTGTTCATTTGGTTCTCCTCTTTCAGTGCTCTAGGATGGTAAAGAGACCTTGATGCCATCCTGTCCTGGACCCAGAACTCCCACACTTCACTTTTCACTAATTATAGAGCAGAATTTAGGTTAACAGACTTCCTTTTTAAAAAGCAAATGCCCCTGGGAGGGTGAAGTCGTGGGTCACTTATACCTTAGTGCAAATCATTTTATAAATTTAAACTGATTGCTACCACCACCACCACCACCACCACCACCACCACCACCACCACCACAGGGAGTGCTGGTTTGATAGGGCAATGGGAACATGAGGAGGGGGTTGGGCTGGCAGAGTGCTTCAGCCCAAGACTGAATGGCTGGAGGTAGGGAGCCAGAGCCAGAGTCAGGAAGAATGGGGATGAGTATCTGGTGTGCTGTAAGAAGCAGGAGTCCTCAGGGCTTCCAAATGGAGCTTGGACAAAGGAAGGTCTGAGGCTAATGTCCAGCCAAACCCTTCCCAGAGAGAGACGGTCCCTGTCTAGCCCCAGGGGTGAGGATCAGAAGGTGCCCCTGTGACTTCCTCAAAGACTCTTTCACATAATCAGCTCTCCTGGGTTTTTTTGCCCCAAGATGCCCAGGCAGCCTATGGGTGTGAGTTGGTTTCCCAGACTTCTATGGAGGGTAGGCTGGGCCCAAGGTTGGGGCTTTGGCCCTGTTTCCAGCTAGAAATAACAAATCTGCTTTTTGATATCCATATAATAAAAGCCTTACCTGCTCAAAAATATCTTCCTTGCTGTTGTTCATGTGCCAAAATTCCCGCCCACCCACTAAAGAATGACTCTTCAGGAGCCTTTTTGAATACATGCATTTTTATCTGCGTTATGTTCCCTGGAGGAGGCAGCTCCCTAAGATGGATGGTGGTGAGTTCATTGATACTTGCATAGACTCGTTCCGTGTTTGACCATATCCCTCACTGGCAGGGGAGCTAAATTCTGTCCTACCAACCCCAGGAAGTGGCTGGGAGGGTTCAGATGCAACCCCCTTGTAACCTGCATGGCTGGAACCAGCCTTAGTTGCTGCTACTCTTGGCTGATATGATCCTCACAAAATTGGAGGAGAAGAGGTGATGACCCCATTTTACCTCAGCTTGGAAGCAAATCAGTGCTGTGTTATCATGCATCAATCAAGTGACAGTAGCCCAGGACTGCAGGCACTAAATCTTCTTCTACTGGGCCCACCTCCCACCTTCCATCCCCACTCACTGCTCCCACAAAATCCCAGAAGAAGGGATGGTGTGGTTCTCCCATCTCACTTAACCCAGGGCTGGCTCCCTCTTCCCCTGGGGTGGCTACAGAACTAGATATACCCTCCAAGTCCATTCTGGCCCCACTGTCCCCAAGCTTCTGTCAGTAGGCTCCTAAAGCTGCCTGAAACCATACCATTAAACCCATTCCTTTGGATGAAGACAGAGATGTCCAGCCAACAGAGAGGAGTTTGCAGGCAGATCTCAGTGTTTCCCCAGAGAGCAGACAGCCCACCTTGTGGCTGCAGATTGCTTCATCTTACACAAAGCTCTTTCTCATGCAGGGTCCCATTTGACCCCCAAAGGGAATTGGGGTGGTAGAATGGATTTTGGAAACTGATGGGGTAATTGGGACGTGGGGGAGGAGGTTGGGCTGGTAGAGAACTTCAGCCAGAAGCCAGGAGGCTGGAGGCAGGGAGTGAGGGGATGTTAACTCCTCTGAGCCTTGATTTCCTTCTGTAAAATGGCAATAATGCTACCACCCCATGCTCTTGCTTTGCATGTGAATGATTTGAAAATCATGAGTGGGAGAAGGGGGTATAGGACGGTGCCACTGAATACACATGGCGCATACATCTTCCTGGAATTTTACTTGAAGATTTGGAGGTGGGAGAGTTTTATAATAAAACTTGGATTTATTATGCAGCAGAATGCAAACCTTGCATGTATTTAAAGAGTAAAAAAAGGAGTTTTGAAAGAGATGTCATGTTTCTAGTGGGCTGCTTCTGGCTACACCCCCAGATCCCTGGGGGTTGGACACGTGATCACACCCTAGTGTGCCATGTAGGGACTTCAGTAGGAAAGTAGGAGCAGTGCTTTCTGATGGAAGATGAGAAGCGCCTGGCAGGCAGTAGGCGGTCAGTAAATGGTGGCTCGTGTTATGGCAGCAGCTCTATCCTCCCAGAGGAAACAGGCTCACACAGATGAAATCCTCACTTTGGTTCACTCAGCTAAAAAGTGACAGAACACATGATTCCAGTGCCCTGTCACTAACCCCTATCTCCTCCCCATGGGAAAGCAGCAGACTTCCCCTGTTTAGGCCAAGTTCTCCCTCTCCCTCTTGGAACTCTCTCTGATCAGGGAGGCTGTATTTCTGTGTTCCAGCCCTATAACTCCTGCAACACATATGCAACTCCTCTGAGGCAAGTACCCCTACGAGGAGGCAGCAGACACACAGTTTGGATGAGCAAACCTGTGTACTTTAGAGGGTGGACACAGGGCTGATGAGTTTTGGGTGGGAAAAGGAAAGGTCCAGAGTATGAGCTGCTCTCTGAATTGGGTGGAGGCCAGAAGCCATGGTCATGAGGCAAGAAGCACACCAAAATCTACATTTCCTTCCCGGTTTCATCTAAAATGATAGGCTCTCAGCTCTGCATCCCATTTTCAAGGCTCAGGTTTCTGGGTCTAGATCAAGACCAAGGATGCCCCGAGCCTTGCCAACTGGTGAGGAGTGAAAAGGCATCAGGAATAGCAAGAGGGTCTCAGGGAGCCCTAAGCCATTCTTTTCCCAGGCCCTGCCAGGCTAGCCTCTCTGTCCTGGGCCTTTGCAAAAGTTTGTTTCCATGTTTGTCTCCCTAAATGAGAGTAGCCAATGGTCCAAAGTGAACGAAACAAGAATCCAAATTTGTCCAGTTTCTGCTTCATGCCAAGGAATGGGGCTGGGGAGGATGGAGCCTGTCACACTCAAGCCTCATTTACTACTCATAACAACCCAGGGAGAGTGATTATTTCCCCATTTTACAGATGAAGAAACTGACACTCAGAGGCCTGTTTCTCAGGCCCCAGAATCTCCTGAGGCAATGTTAGAAATGCAAATTTTTGGCTCCACCCAGACCTACTTAGAATTTCCCCCTGGGGCAGACCTGAGCGGCTGCATTTTTTAACCGGGGTGACCATCAGGTGATGTTCAAGCTCAGGAAAGTTCTAAATCCTTGACAGAGCACTTTAGTAACCTGCCCACTCAGCTCAGAGCAGCAGGAGTGGGGTGCAAACCTGAGCCCTTTGGCATTAAATTCAAGGCTGTTTTCAGCACAGTCCATAAGCTGGATATCTGCCATCACCCTGTGCCCATCTCAGTGTCCTCCACATAGGCTCACAATAAACTTTCCTTGAGTGAGTGAGTGAGTGAGTGAGTGAGTGAGTGAGTGAGTGAGTGAACCGTGGGGCCCTAGCTACTTGCGGTGGGTTGGGGCAGGAGACCCTATTCCAAAGGAGGGCGGGCTTAAGCACTGCTGAGACGCCAACGTGCACACTGGACCGTGTCGCTTTCAGAAAAGCCACTGGCAGAAGATTCGGACCATGGTGAATCTGCCCGTCATGAGCCCTTTCAAGAGGCGCTATGCCTGGGTGCAGCTGGCTGGGCACACGGGTGAGCACAGGGCAGGCGCCGGTGAGGTGGGTGGGTGTCTGGAGTAGGAAGGGACCAGGCAGCGCTAACTGGTGCCAGTCTGCAGGGAGTTTCAAGGCGGCTGGCACCAGCGGGCTGATCCTGAAGCGCAGCTCAGAGCCGGAGCGCTACTGCCTGGCGCGGCTCATGGCGGACGCGCTGCGCGGCTGCGTGCCCGCCTTCCACGGCGTGGTGGAGCGCGACGGCGAGAGCTACTTGCAGTTACAGGACCTGCTCGACGGCTTCGATGGGCCCTGCGTACTTGACTGCAAGATGGGCGTCAGGTACACGTGTCATGCCTGGCTGGGCGCGCACACAGGGAGGGGATGAGCGCTCTACCGGGTGCCCAAAGCCGCGCTGGACCGGTTCCAGGTGTGCGCCGTCTTACGCCCCGCCGCTGCCCGCGCCTCCGCAGGACTTACCTGGAAGAGGAGCTGACCAAAGCCCGCGAGCGGCCTAAGCTGCGGAAGGACATGTACAAGAAGATGCTGGCGGTAGACCCGGCGGCTCCTACCGAGGAGGAGCACGCGCAGCGCGCGGTCACCAAGCCACGCTACATGCAGTGGCGAGAAGGCATCAGTTCCAGCACCACACTGGGCTTCCGCATCGAAGGCATCAAGGTGGGCCAGTCCCGCTTCGCTTTGCAGAGCCCTGTCCCTCCCTCAGCCCTAACCCCGCCGTGCGGTATCTGCCCTGTTGTTGACCCCCACCACGAGGCACCCTCTGGCGGCCTTTCTGCCGTCCCTGCAACTAACGTCCTGGGAGGTATTGCTGCTCTAGTCTGATCCTCTCCCCTTGAGCTGAGGAGAGACACGGGGACCCTGACCCTTCCTGTCCCATCTCCTTCAGAAAGCTGATGGCTCCTGCAGCACCGACTTCAAGACGACGCGAAGCCGGGAGCAGGTGATTCGTGTCTTCGAGGAGTTTGTGCAAGGGGATGCGGAAGTGCTGGTGAGCGCCGGATCCTAGAACCCTGGGGTGTTGGGGAAACCTGAAAACGAGGGGTGCCCCTAGGTCATCCGGTTTAGCTCCCTTGCCGTGACCCGTTCCCCCCCCCCCATCGTAGCATTTATCCCACCTGGGGGCCTGTGTCTTCCTCACCACGGTATTTGCCAAGCCAAGTATGCTTCGTGGCCCCTAATTTTAGCAGAGGCTCAATTAGTGTTTAATTAATTTGCCTTCCTCTCCTACCCTGTTCTCTCCAGAGGAGGTATCTGAACCGCCTGCAGCAGATCCGGGACACCCTGGAGGTCTCTGAGTTCTTTAGGAGGCACGAGGTAAGAGGGGTAGGCTCAGGTGCGGGAACTGTGGTCTGTGAGGGCTACAGCAGGATTAGGATGGGGGGCTTCTCCAGGAAAGGGCCGTGGCCTGACCATGTGGGGCTCGACAGGTGATCGGCAGTTCGCTGCTCTTCGTGCACGATCACTGCCATCGCGCCGGTGTGTGGCTCATTGACTTCGGCAAGACCACGCCCCTCCCCGACGGCCAGACCCTGGACCACCGGCGGCCCTGGGAGGAGGGCAACCGCGAGGACGGCTATTTGCTGGGGCTGGACAATCTCATTAGCATCCTGGCCAGCCTGGCTGAGAGATGAGGCTGGGCCCTGGTTCTGACAGATGGACCCGCGGCCGTGTCCACACCATGCATGCAGCCAGAGACTGAAACCCTGCGGTGCCGGGAGGTTCACACGGTTCTGAAGGCCAAGCGCCAACCACCATGGGACGCACTGCACGAGCAGGGGGCTGTCTCCAACTGATGGCACTAATTAACCCAGGGAGGGGGGTAGGGAGGCTGGCTGGGACAATGGCCTCCTTCCTCAGCCCAGCTCTCTTGAGGGGGCTGCATCTCTCTAGAGAGGCCAGATAATGAATTTTATTTTGCAGACACTAGATCTATTGGTCTAACCTCCCACACTACAATGGACAGCCTTTGCCAATAAAACTCAAAGACACCAGCTTTGGTGACTCAGGCCTCATCCCCTCCCTCCTCTGGTCCCTTTCTTACTTCCCTAGCATCCTTCATGTCTAGGCAGATCACTGGAGGGTATGAGAAGAACTCTTTATTAGAGGCATTTGTAGGGTTGAGGGCTGCCCAGACGAAAGACACTTATGGGTGGGGGAGGGAAGGGTAATCCAGAGAAGGCTTCCTGAGGGAGGCGATTTCAACCTCTCGTCCCAAAGATCAAAGGCTGGGAGTGTCCAAGCTCTTCTCCAGGAAGCCTGGGCTGGTTTCCAGGATGGGGAGTCCACTGGTGCCTGGCCAGCTCTGAGACAGGCCCAGACACGCAGTACAGACTGCAGGGGACAGAGGCTACTGGAATAACAAGCTACCTAGAAGCCTGAGGAAGAGTGCAGGGAGGAACCATTGCACTGCCTGAGTCCTCACCTTCAGGGCCCCTTGGGGCCCAAGAGTCATAGGGGGGATTCCAAAGTTTCCGAGGTTGGAGGTCCTGGATTTGGGGTCTTGGGACTAGAGGGCAGTCAGGGGCCAAGGAGGCCCCCTATCCAGCTCTTTAAGCTCTCCAGATTCAGTTCCTGGGCCCGTGGGGAATCTTAGGCCCTCCAAAGACCTGCTCCCCAGCCCAGAAGCCTTTTCCTCATCCAGAGTGGGCAGTAGCTCCATTGGCAGGAATAAATTCAGCACATCCGGGTCCTGTAATAGAAGGGCAGGGGAGCAGCTTTGTTTTATGGCTTCCTTCCTGACTCTCGAGATCAAGATGGTCAAGGCAGGTGAGGGGGCACACCTGAATGCAGTACTGAAGATGCTCCAAGATGCTGGCAAAACAGGGGCACAGCTGAGGTTGGTGCCGCCAACACCGTGTCATGGTACAGTACCTGGGAGAAAGATAGGATTTTGTGCCCACCCATGGCTATGAAGGACCTCCGTCCCTGGACAACACTCCATACTCACACAGGCCTGGGCAGCCCCTGGGAGGGCCCATCTGTCCCCCTCCAGTGACAAAGTACAGTATGTCCTGGTTGGTGCACCCAGGGTACGGCATGTAGCCTAATAAGAAGATTTCCCAGAACAGGACCCCGAAAGACCTGCAGCATGAGTGGGGGAAGCTCAATGAAGCCCATCAGACACAGCCTTCCCTTTCCCTCATGTAAGGTGGCCCAAGGCCAGGGAAGGGGGCAGGCATGTTATCACCAGGAGTCTGTCTTGGATATGAAAATGAATGCCCTCCAGAAAGGCCTCTTCAGGCATCTACTTGACTGGCAGCAGAGCCTACCCCCCCACCCCCACCCCTAATAACTGGTTCTACAGGAGGGAGGAGGGGAGTGAGACACTGCTCAAATGCCACCAGAGTGCTGGTAAATCTCTTGAAGCAGCAGCAGCCTTCCCCGAGTCCCCAGACCCCACACCTGTAATATCATATTTTGCCATCCTGAAGTCCCCAGTACCAACCACTGGGCTGAGTCCAGTGCAGCCCAGCAGGCAGTTCCTGGCAGCAATGTCCCTGCAGGCAAAAAAAAAAAAAAAAAAAAAAAAAAAAAAAAAAAAAAAAAAAAAAAATCACTGCCAGAACTCAGAAGCTCTGACCCTGAACTATTTCTATAAAAGTTATGTGGAAAAGCTATTCCTTGGGGATTAGAGATTGGGCTGCTCCCCTACCCGCTCTGAGCCAGGATCACTCCCAACCTGTGGATTTTCCTTCAGGTAGTGGCAGCCCTGGGTTATGTCCTGAGCCAGCTGGAGCAGGTCCCACATGGCCAGAGGTGATGGCTGGCCCTGGGTAGGGCAGAGGGTGTGTTAGTCCATGCTTGTTTTGGGACACATGGACAGGGTCTTTAGATGGGCCAAGAGGGCTGGGAGAAGGGTCTTACCAAGTGTGGCCGGTTGTTCCTCAGGAAACTGTTCATGTCCCCTCCAGACCTCAACTCCAGCAGAATTAGGCGAGGGGCAGTCCAGAGTCTGAGCCCCACGCAGTGCACAATGTTCTGATGGCTGAATGTGCTGTGTGGGAGGTGCACATACCCCAGTCACTGACAGGGAAGGAAACCAGGCTCTAGGCTCCACAAAAGTGGAGACAGGCTCTGTATCCCTAGAACTGCTACCTCTCAGCTCCAGGGTGAAGAGAAGCTGTCTCAGCAGGCAGTTCAGTGCCCACCTTCCACCCCTGCCCCTGGGCCCAGGTGCACCTGATGCGGTGAGAAATCCAGCTCATCCTGACTAGAGCAGAGTTCTGGCAGGGTCTGGGGAGGAAAAGGGCTCCTGAGACATTTCAGGAGGCCAGTTGATCCTAGCTTTAGCAACTGTTCCTCCCCCCATGGAGCCCTGCTCTACCCTGAGCCAGGAGTTCCACCCCTCTCACCTTGACAGCCACCTGCGGGGGGTTGGGGTCCCCAGGAAGGCCAATTACCAGTCCTTCAATAGACTTCTCCCAAGGCGCCATGGCCCAGTGCTCTGCAGGAAGACAGGTTGGAAGGGAGAGGGTGGCTGGGCCTGGGGAAGGGTCCTGGAGGGTCTAGTGCCTCCTTTACCTCTCTTGCCACTCCCTATACACCCAGGTGGCCCTATCTGAGGACTCTGAGGCTTTTCTGCATCATGGCATCTCCCCAAGTACAAGCCCTGCAGAGGCAATGCTGACTGGCACAGAGTTAGGGGAGAAGAGAGAGCAGGTATGGGCTTAGGGTGAGGGTGGGAGTCTGTGATGAGGTTTTCCTTATGTCCTTGCAGATACTTGCTCCAAAGAAATCATGGGGTCCCTACTATCCCAGGACTGGGGATGACAACTGACCTATACAGGTCACTGTGCCTTTTAGAAATTCTCTGGCCTCTGTCTCCTCCACAGAGGGGTTGAGGCCAGATTCTCTCTGGGAACCATAATTCAGCACAGCAGGGAATGGGGTGGAGGAGGGAGGGATTCAGAGTGCATAGGTTCTCAGAAGGAGGGGGAGAACTCACCTGAGCAGAGTGACATTGGCTGGGGAAACCTCTGTAAGTCCTGGGGGCAGAGGCCAGGGCTGGGCGGGGCCAAACCCCACCTGGCAGTAGTAGAGGTTGAGGTGTCCTGGTGGTGGAGGTTTGAAGGTAGCTCAGCTTGAGCTCAGGGTCGTGCAGCCTCATCTACCACAGGCCCTGCCACTTCTTATGGTTCACTGAAGAAGATGGCAAGAAGATACCCACACTATTTGCTACCCTTCTGCCCAGGACATCTCTCCAGATGTCCATTAAGGCAAATGTTTTCCCTGGGCCTCCACAGCTACTTCTACTCTTAGAACCCTAGAGGAGTCCACCACTGCTCTGCTGGAAGCAGGGTTTTTGTTTTGTTTTGTTTTGTTTTGAGAGAGTGGGCACATGAGTGCTAGTGGAGGAGGGGCAGAAAGAGAGGGAGCATAGAGGATCTGAAGCGGGGTTCCACGCTGACAGCAGAGAGCCCAACGCAGGGCTTGAACTCATAAACAGTGAGATCGTGACCTGAGCCAAAGTCAGACATTTAACTAACTGAGCCACCCAGGTGCCCCAGAAGCAAGGGTTTTGAAATCAGCCTCGTCTGTCCCTGGGACCCCGCGCAGCTCAGTGACATGGTGGGTAGCCATACCTGTTGGATGTTGCTTACCCAGAATAAGAACCCCACACACCATAAGGAGGCTCAATGTAGAGGTCACAACAGTCACCAACAGAACCAGAGGGCCTGGTGAGGTGGGCAGGTCTAGGGAGAAAGAGAGATGCCTTCAGTGGGAAGCTTTTCTCTGTCCCCCTACCCAAATTTTATCCAGACCTCAAGACTCAGCCAAACTGTTAACTTCTCCATGATGCTTTCCCTATTTATCCTAGACAAAAGCAATCTTTCCTTTCTGAGAACTCCTAAAACATTTTAAACCTCCCATGGCAATCGTCACTTTAATAGATATCTAAATCTAGATCTAGATAGAGAAATAGGTAGGTACATAGGTGGATAGGTAGATATCACCCCTCCCAAACTAGACCACTAGACTACATGCTCCTTGAGGGCAGAGCATGCACTGATGCATATCCAGCCTCCTGCCCAGCACCTAGAATGGTGCCTGGCACATACCAGTCATCTTTCCCAGCAGCCTACTGCTCCTCCCAGCCCGTGGCCCCAGGAGTCCAGACCTTGGACAAAGGCAGGACTTACCTGTACCATGCATGTAATGTTACCTGCAGCTAGCTCCATACCCCCTGGGCACATGCATTTGGCTAACCAGAGCTCTGCCTGCCACTGGCAATGGCAATGACTACAGTTGAGGAGCAGTCAGATCTCTACCTCTCTGTGGCTCTCCATGACTATGAGTAAAACAACGGATACTGCAAGGTGAAGGTGGGGGACAGACATACTTTTTCCAGCTATGTGGTTAACTCTAGCCCTGGACTTTGAACAATGAGCAACACCAGAGGCATTGAAGGGGTAGGGGAAGGGCTTGCAGGACTCTGTCAAGTCCATATACTCCCTCTTCTGGGATCCTGGAGCTTGGAGGATTGAGGATTGAGTTTAAGAATTCATAGCAGGAGGGGCACACCAGGCTCTGTGCTGACAATATGGAGCCTGCTTGGGATTCTCTCTCTCTGCTCTTTCCCTGCTCACACTCTCTCTCAAAATAAATAAATAAACATTAAAAAAAAAAAAAAGAATTCATAGTAGGAGATATTTGACAAGCACCCCAGAAGGCCTCATACTGGCATCACAATTGACCACCCAGTTCTTGACAACTCCCGTGCTGTCCAAGAAACAGGTGGTTCAGAGCAGAGTTGGTGGCTCAGATGGGAGTGGGCTCAGAGATTGAGGAAGAAGGCTAGACCCAGCTGAAAGCTGGGGGGTGGAGGTAGGGGCCAATACCTGCCAGAGGCTGCAGAAAGCGTTCGCTGCAGGGGTGTATGAAGGATACCCCATCTTCTCCATCAACCCAGAGGATGTCAGTCTCCGAGGCCTGGAAACTGAAAGTGTTAAGAGTGTTTGGCTACAAAATGAGGGAGGGAGGGGGGCAGGGGCATACAGATGGGAAACTGGCTTGGGAACAGTAGGGAAGCTGTTGTCTCCCTAGCGAGAATCCCCTGTGGCCCTCTCTACACTAGCATTACAATACTGGTGCTGCCGGCTCAGAAGTGGGAGCCAGGAGCCAGGAGCCAGGGAGGTGGGATGGGCATAATCAGCTGGAACCTGAAGGCCTTGCTCAGGGACAACCTGAGCAGGGGCAACCTCCTGGTCCACCTAAAACCCTCTGATTTTATGTCCTCAGATATAAAATGGAAGAGGCCCAAACCACATGTTCCATTTTTGTGATAATGGAGATGTGTATAAAGTACTCATGAACAGTATGGCTCAGACCCCAAAGCTCTGTCTCTTTACACCAGTGATTTCCAAACTCTGGAGTGTATTAAAATCACCCAGAGGATTGATTAAAACACAGATGGCTAGGAGTCTTCCCTAGAGTATCTGATTCAGTAGGTTGGAGAGGGGCTGAGAATTCGCATTTGTAACTTCCTAGGTGGTGCTAATGCTACTAGTTCGGAAACCACACTTTGAGAACTGCTGATTTAAATTATCCCTGACTTCCTGCCTCTCTGCTCGGCTTGCTAACTCAGCCAGCTCTAAGCTCTTGCGGCTGCTGTAGAACCAGGAGACCTGTTGTGATGAAAAAAGTCCTGGATTTAAATGAAAATCTAGGGAGTCCTGTCTGCTTGTATGAGTTCTGTCTGCTTGCAACTTATTTGATCTCTTTTTTCTAAGAGCTATTACTTTTATTGCTCTGGCCCAGGACAGGGCTCAAGCCCTTTCCCACCTGTCCTTTAGAGGGCTTACTCTAAGGTTCTCACTTCACTTAACCCTGGGAGCTGCCCAGCTGCCTTCCCTAAGAGTGCACCTGCCGGGGTAGCCGCCGCCGCCGCCTCCACCCCGCAGTACAGGCCCCGCCGCCGCCCCCGAAGCCTCGGGCCAAGTGTAGCCCAGGCCTCTGCGCAGCCCTGGCCGCCCCCCGCCCCCTCCAGCAGTGGACGGCCGGCCTGCGAAGAGGGGGCCCTGCCCGCGACGTCCAGCCGCCCCCTCCACCTGCGGGGCGACAGCAAGATGACTGGCAGCGAAGATGGGGGGCACGCCCGCCTCTCCCCACGGCCCAGCTTCCCCCGCTGCTTCCGGGCGTCGCTGAGCGGCTCTCCAGTTTCTCAGGGGCAGCCTCGGTCCTGGCGCCTCAGGTAGGCCCGCCCACCTCCTCCGGCCGCCACCAGCAGTGGCTCCAGCTCGCCGACACGCAGCTATGGGGACGGCGGCGCGTTGAGGGGCGCGCCCTCCAGCCGTCGAGGGAGGACCCGTGCACCTGGCACCCGAGTAAGGGCTCAGGGACTGGGGACCCCAAGTCCGGGACGCAGAGCGTGTGTGCGCGCGTTCGCAGGAGGAGATTTGGGACCCCAACGCGGAGCGCTGAGGGCGGGTGCTGAGCGCGCCGAGGCAAACACGTACCCGAAAGATGTAGGTGGCGCCCCGCCGCCTCCCGCCCAGCGCCGCGACCCCGGGACCCCTTCGGCCCCCTCCGTCGCCGCGTGCTCCTCAGCGGTCCGAGTCTCTCCGAGACAGACGCGCTGGCTCTGCCGGCTCCCCTGGGGACATGGGGCGCCGGATGCAGCGGGGCCCCATGCTCCTTTCGCGGTGCGGCTGTCTCAACACCGCGGAGTGCCCGGCCCTAGCCCTACTCCTGCGGAGCTTGAGCCGCCGTTTCCCACGGGCCCCGCTTACTCGGGAACAGGCATCCTCTCCCCGCTGCCCCACTAGGATGTAAAGCGGCTCCCTGCGACCAAGGGAGAAGAGGGAGGAGACGAAGACGCCCTGCGCCCGCCACGGGTGGTTCTTGGCGCCTTTGCTCCCCGCGGCTCCGTAAGCTGAGGTCCTGCGGAGAGCAGGCGCTCAGTCCCCAGCCCCTGCATCTTTGATCGTCGGGCTACCCGTCTGGGGCAGAGGTCGGAAACAGAAGCGGCTCCAGAATTTATCTCAGGGACTTAGGCTGTAGTCGATTTTGAAGGGTTGGGGAGACCCAGGGTTACACACCAGAAAATTAGATTTTACACTTACTTTAGCAGGCGTAATGGAAATGAGGGGAGGCTCAAGGCACCCGTTGGCGCCGCGGGTGGTTAGGGGCAATCCATTTGGTGGGAACAGGCTCCTAGATACTGGCTCACTCCGTGGAGACTATTGCCACCCTCCCCCGGTTCTGCTGGAAGAAGGGACAAAGTCTCCAGGGCGCACATGGTTGTAGAATACTCTAAGACAACGTGGTGTGCATGAGGCCGTTGGTCCCCTGACTTTAGAACCTCAGACTGGAAGGTCACCACCCACCTCTCCCTGCTCTGCACTTACAGGTACCTGTCAGTGCCCTGTCCCACCACAAATGTACGCCTTTCAGAGTCTTTCGGACCCTCACTGTCGCCACCAGGCTGCTGCCTGTGTACCACTTGTCACAGTTTGTGTGGGTCCTCCACAGCCGCTGTCCCGCAGAAGAATAACCAAGGCCCTTCAGTGCCTGGAAGCAGGGAAGGAGGAAAAGGTCATATAAGCACCTGCCCTAGACTGGTAAGATGAGCAGAGGAGAAGGGAGGAAGGAGCTTGGAGCTTACCTGGGGGAATTAGGGGAGAAGCTGGCTCCAAGCCACTAGGTGGGGTGGTGATATTCCGTCTTGGGGGCTTGGAGCTGGCAGCCACAGGGGCAAGGATGATGGAAAAGGTGCCTGGGACCGTGACTGGAGCAGAGACTGGCTCCTGAAAGGTGACAGTGAGATAGCGGGGTTGGGAGAGGGGGCAGGATGTTAAATGGGAGACAGAAGATAAAGATAGACAAATGCAGACACTTGCCTCTCGCAGCCATGCTCCTATCACCACTGGAAGCAGGCCCCCACCAACTGCAGTTGCTGAAGCTCCATGGGGTGCTGGCTGATACCTCTGCAAGTTTCTCCCCTGGGGAGTCCTTGTGAATGACTTGGGGGCTGCCCTGAGATTGTTCCTGCAGGCCCCCCACCCTTTCCTTGACTTAGCTAGGTAGTCTCACCCCCAGGCGGTGCTGAGACCCCAGGGCCTGTCCCTCCTTCCCAAGCTGAGAGATGGGGAACCTTGGATTGAGGTATGCACCTTGCTTCTGGGCCCACTCCTGGAGCAACTGACTCAGAAGTGTTGGCCTTGAGGGTTCCAGGCCTCTGTGGGAGCCACAGGACCTGTCTGCCTTCACTGCTTTTGCAAAGCCTAGGAAGATGCCTCTAGCCAGGTGATTCCTTGACAGACAGAAGGTACTTACGCATGGCTCCAATCCATAGCAGCAGCCAGCTCAAGCAGCCCATGGCTTGTTCAGCCTGCTGCACTGAGGGTTGTAGGCTCAGACCTTGCCACTTTGCCTGTCTTCCCCTTATAGGAGCCTCCAGCTACTTGCTAGACACTGATGGTCCTAAAGCCTGCCTGGCCACTCCCACCTAAGACCCTGGCCACTCCCATGCTGAAGGAGGGGAGGGTGGGGCAGGTGGGCAGGGAGGTCCCCACGCTTTCAGGAAGAGGTTTGGGAGCACACATCCAAGGGCTCTGTGTCTGGATCCACTGGGTTGGCTGCTGGCTGTCTCAGAGAATGGGGTGAGTGCAAGGTAGGGGAGAAAGTGCCCCCCACCCTTTTGAGGCTGGAGCCTGAAAAAAATGGCAAGCCACACCCTAGATACCTTGCCCAAGCTTCTAGGTCTTTCTAACTCTCACATCGGGAGCAGTGCGGTGACTGCTTCATTGGTGGTGGGGTGTGTGTGTGTGTGTGTGTGTAAAACACATAGGAAGTGCTCTTTAAACAGCCCCAAGTTAGGCAGCATTACTTGTCATTACTTGTGTCTTTTCAGTGCCTTTGTGACTGAAAGGCCGACTCTCCAGATACTCTCAGAAACATGCGCCTCTGGGTTCACCTCATACAATTGATTGCCTGTGTTAACTCTGTACAATTTCTTACTGTGATGGGGTGAAAGCCTGAATCCTGATGTCAACGATCTAAGTGCTAGTACTAGCATTTCTAGTCACTGGGTGACGCTGTTCCAGTCACACTGTTCTGAGGCGGTTTCCCCACCACCTATAAAATCATATGAGGGGGGATTGCTCTGTAAACCACAAGAAACCGTGTAACTGTGAAGGTTACTTAGCTGTCAGGTGGTTTTGTGTCTTCTTTATTCTTTTTCCAAAATATTAATTTTTTAAAAAGTTTTCTTTATTTATTTTTGAGAGAGAGAGAGAGAATCTCAAGCAGGCTCTGCACTGTCAGCACAGAGCCCAATGTGGGGCTCGAACTCCTGGACCATGAGATCATGACCTGAGCTGAAATCAAGAGTCTGACGCTTAACTGAGCTGCCCAGGTGCCCCCCAAAATACTAATTTTAAAGGCTGAGGCCTGTGTGTAATGTAAAGCACTGGGGAAAAAAAAGAAGTGACAGTAGTTAGCTAGTTGGTGAAGCCTCTGAGTATATAGTGCTAGATAAAGACACGACAGTGATTTTGTTTTTTTTTTTTAATTTTTTTTTTTCAACGTTTATTTATTTTTGGGACAGAGAGAGACAGAGCATGAACGGGGGAGGGGCAGAGAGAGAGGGAGACACAGAATCGGAAACAGGCTCCAGGCTCTGAGCCATCAGCCCAGAGCCTGACGCGGGGCTCGAACTCACGGACCGCGAGATCGTGACCTGGCTGAAGTCGGACGCTTAACCGACTGCGCCACCCAGGCGCCCCTACAGTGATTTTCTAAACACTCTAGTCCTCAGACCCTATTTAGCTCTGTTATCCTATTATGAGGTCACAAAATTTCTTTGGTAAGGTTCCGGTAAGCCAGTGGTTCTCCAAGTGTGTGTTTGGGTTTGGATAGCAGCGTCAGCACCACCTGGGAACTTGTTAGAGATGCAAATTCTTGGGTTTCACCCTAGGTCTACTCAATCAGGAACACTGGTGTACTGCCTAGCAATTGATTTAACACACCTGAAGACAGTTTGGAACTATTGCTGTTTGCAGATGCAGTAGTTGCTTAATAAACCTACTGGAGAATTCTGTGTGCAGCAGCTCCATTTATGGGAAATGGGTTCTCTCTGCCTGCTGATAGGGCACACTGCACTCACTCTGATGACCTGTAAACACACTATAGGCAATTCCACACAGAAAATGACACTCTAAGAAAGCTTGAGTGCTAGAATTCAGATGAAAGAACCTAAAAACTCTATCAAGAGATGAACCAATGAATCAGAATTCATGGTTTGATCCACTCCTTCCCAGCCCTTACCTACTACCACTCAAGTCCACAATGGAAGGGGTGTTGTGTGACAACGCTAATAGACTGAATATTTGTGCCCTCCATCCCTGCCTCATTCCTAGGTTGAACCCTAATACCCAATGTGAGGGTATTTGGAGGCAAGGCCTCTGGAAAGTGATTAGGTCATGAGGGTTCCACCCTCATTTCCCTTCCACCATGTGAAGGCTGTCTACGAACCAGGAAGTGGGCTCTCACTAGAGACCAACTGTGCCAGCATCTTGACCAACTTCCCAACCCCAAGAACAGAAATGAATTTCTGTTGTGTATAAGGCACTCAGTCTTTGGTATTGTTACAGCAGCCCAAATAGATGAAGAGACAGCTAGTGCACAGTCTGATTTCGGGTTTCTTCATATCTCAGATAGCAGGTAACAGACCATAAGGAGACAAGATGCCGACCTCATTAAGGATACTTATACATCAAGTGGACTGCCCAGAGTCCTTCCAGAAGTACCCCTTCCCAAGAGCATTACTCTGGCCCAGCTCTACTGCAGAACCAGGACCCACATTTTTGTTTTCCCAGACGTAGGCTCTGTTTTCAGCTCTCCCATCTCTCACAGGAGCCCAGCTTCTCCCCTAGGATAGCCCATCCCTCCATACCAATCCTGAACTAACATCTGACATCAGTCCAAATCAGATTCCCAGGAGATACAAAACATTTTTATTTCAGTACACATCTACAGGATTTATGTATCTGGTCTGGGGCAGGGGAAGGAGGAGACATGTACATAGTTAGTCTGGTCTCCAAGAGAGGGGCAAGTTACCCTTCACTTCCATACAGACCAGATCCTGAGTTTCAGACATCAGGATATAATGGGAGGGCTCACTCTGCTCCAAAAAAGCTCACACAGCCTGCTCCCAGGAAAGCAAGCCTTCTCCCTTGTCTCCTGCCCACGCTTAAGCCACAAAACCCTTCTGTCTGGCCAGGCCCGTGTTGGTGAACCCCAGAACGTATCCATCTCTTCATCTGTAGCAGCCATACTAGGTCTCTGATTCCCCATTTTGGAGCATCCCTGAGGTCAGTCTCTGGAGGTACTGCTGACGCAGAGAGGGCAGCTGGAGATACAGCTCAAAGCCTTCTGGGAGGGCAGGATTAGGGAGCTTATAGTGGAGAAGGTGCTGCCGGAGACCCTGCAAAAGGGGCAGAAACTTTATGAAGTAGGTAGTGAGATCCTATTGAGATTTCTGTGCCCCAAGACCTCTTCTCTTCCCACCCTCCAGGATGTGCCCCATCCTACCTCATTCGTCAGCATCCAAGTCTTCTGCAACATGCTCCTGCGGGCAGCCTTTACCTCGTCCTAGAGGCAGAACAGGGACAGGGGACACTGGGCCAAGGGCTGTACCCATCACTGGCCTTGTCTGGCCCTCATCTCCTCCCCAGATGACCCAAAGGCAGCTCCATCACAGTCTCCCTTCCTCCCTTCAGTATAACTTACTGAACTCTTTGGGTCCTGGGAGAAGATGAAGCTGTTGACATGAGCCACAGCCACAGCATAGAGTACAGGGCACCAGCGTGCACAGAGTGCACCAGTAACCAGGACACGGAAGTAGAGCTGAAGGAGGGCCAGGTTGTCTTCAGGAGGCTCTGTATAGTACTCCAAGGACACAGGCAACTGTGACAGGGGGAATGAGACATGCTGAGGGTGAGGGTGGAATGTCTATCACTGCACAACAGGGTGGATGGCTGGTGGTCACATGGACCAAATCATGAAGGCAGAGATCAGGTCCTGGACAGACATCCATTCCTGTCTATCACAAGGATCAAGGTTAAAGACTAAAGAGCTGAGAAGCAGGGAAAACTGGGAAACTAAGAAGCAGTACTGAATTTCTACTGCCTACCACTACTTTAATGTACCTAAAACTTTCAAAATGTCACATTCACCTGCTTGATTATATTATGAAACCTTTCAAAAGTTCCTTTTCTTAGGACCAGTAACTCTCTAAAAAATCACTCTTACTTCCATGCAGAAAGGATTATGAGAGGGGCACCTGGCTGGCTCAGTCAGTGGAACATACGACTCTTGACCTTGGGATTGTGAGTTTGGGCCCAACATTGGGTGTAGAGATTACTTAAAAAAATAAAAACATAAAAAAAAAGAAATGATTAGGGCACCTGGGTGGCCCAGTCGGTTAAGCATCCGACTTTGTTTCAGTTTATGATCTCGCGGTTCTTGAATTCAAGTGCCATGTCAGGCTTTGTACTA